TGATCCTGTCACCAGTAACACAACCAACTCTCATAACCTCCTCAGCAACATCCATATCAATGGCTTCCAAAGCAGCCAATGCATTACTCTGTATCTGAATAGGACCTCTATACTGTCCTTCTCCTCTTACAGCACTCAAATCCTTCTCAAACACCACCACATCAAACCCCTTCTTCTTTGCTGCCAAAGCAAAAACCAGTCCTCCAATTCCTCCCCCAGCAACCAGAATTCGAAGCTTCTTTGGTTGAGTCGATGCGGGTCCACTGGGGACCTCTGTGGGTGAGGCCACAGTAGCTCTCACCTCTGTCAAACACTTCTTCCGCCCACTTCTTGTTCTGCTTCTCAAATGGTAGTCAGTGTGAATACAAGGTGAAAATTCAAGTGGGAAGTCCTTGTTGATGGGGATTGGGAAGGGGGTTCTTGAGAAAACTGCTGCTGAGAGGTTCATTGAGTTGTAAAACAGAGTAGAAGCCATTGTTTGTGCTCTAGCTGAGAAGCAAAGGAAAAAGAAACTGAAAAAGAAATAAAAATGAAAGCTTTTGGCTTTCCTCTGTGGAAAGAAAGAGACTGAGTTTGAGGATTGAGGAGTGTGGGAAAATATGGGGGGAGTCAGATATAGATGATTGGGAGCCACACCCTCGAAGGATTGAAATGTCCACCAATCATGGAGATTCTCGAGCCATGTGGCACTCTCTTGGCGAACCAACTCCACTTTCGCAAGAGGGAAAAATATCTTTTTTGGGGGGGGCGGTGGTGGTTATTGCTTTCTTTCTTCTTATGTTTTTCGGTCGGAAGGTGGTTATTAACTTACCACTTGGGAAATCTGTGGCTTTAGATTTTCAACCCCCAATTTTTCTGTGTGCTTGTCCTGATTGTAAACTGAAAGTGATGGTTGGATTTAAAAAATCAAATACATTGTAAACAATGTAATATGGATACTATCCCTCTCATTTTTTCTTATAAAGAGATACTCTGCTTTTTTGCGAATTATATTTTGATACATGCAAAAATAATTTATCAAAAATACAAAAAGAAAAATTTATACACACATGTTACACAAAATGCAAGCCATGACTCGGTTTGCCAAAATATGGAGCATGCTTCTATTCTATGGCCTTTCGGAAATGTTAGGACCATAATTTTGTGAAGGCTTGCATAACGACAACGGGATCACTTTAACTTGTTAGGATCAATTATTGTGTTTTAAAGACTTGTTCATATAAAGAGGGAAGAGGGTTTGATTAAGTAGGTAAAATATTACCAGCCAAATCCATTACTATTATTAAAAGACAGAAGATTAGATCAATATCATATGATCATATGATGATGATTATAAAAATACTCAAGAAAACTATATAAAATTGAAGCGGCGGTGTGATGGTAAGAACACAAATACATTTATGAGAAAGTAGGGAGGAGAGTGGGGGTGGTGGAGTGGAGTGTGAGCGTTGTGTTGAGTTTGAGTGTGGTGATCAAATTCTGGTTTTGATTGGTCCGGTGTTGCTTTAAATTCCGTTAAACGACAATGTCATTCGTTGTTGCTGGGGCCCCACTGCTGACTCGGCTTAGACCATGGTGGAATACGTGGCACTCCCAGATGAACCTCTCTGTTCCCCCCACAAACAGGTGGCAGGTGGTCAAGTCAACACGTTTCCCTCTCTTACATCATCACTTGCAAAATGCCCCAATTCTTTTTTTTTTTTTTTTTTTTAAATTTCCATTACTTTACTAATGGATTCCACGTGGTTTTACTTTCTTAATCACCAGGTTTGAAACAAATATTTATACTCAGTCAAAGAGATACAACATTCACAGAATTATCTAATTTGTATTGTCAGAATCACAGGACAAAAAGAAATTTAATAAGAAATTGATGGTTCCTTAATTTCAGGAATGTTGATCACATGAATATCCATGAACTTTTTGGTTTTGAATTTAAATATACAGAGAAGAAACATGGCATGTTCTGGAGCTGTTTAAAAAACTGTGGCAGGGTAAGGTCTGCTTAGATATTTTTATTTGAACTGCAACAACTTCGTCAAGAATGGTAAGGTCACCCATGGCAAACAAAACCCTCTCCAAGAATGTTAATAGTACATCATGCCTAACCTCAATTTAGGAAAAAATAAGTACATAGATTCATTTTCAGTTCAATAGTATGATTTTCCTCATGCCTATATCTGTGTATGGTAATATGGCCTGAAATGGACAAATTTGGGCATAGGCCCACGGGGCAGCTCATGAGCTTTTTAAGCTTACTTTCTATTAGCTACCTGCGTCATGTAAACTAGATTATCATCCTTTGTTTTACTGCTTCTGTTAAGCAATCAAGAAATATCATGCAACAAACCCCTAAACGATAAGGAGATTGCGTTCATAAATTACGCCACGATGGTAATACAAATATAATAACCACAAAGGTCACTATAACTATCCACAGAGGGGTTACAACCAATATGGAGGAATCCAACGGCAACATTAAACTCATATGGTTTATCTCCACTCAAAGTCACACAGGGCCAAAGACAGTCCGATATAAACGTCTGTCTTGAAAAACCAAGTATAACACCCACAATGAAAACCACAAACACAAACTCTCTTGCAAAAAGACCACAAACAAGAATCAACTCCTTATCAAACTCAAAAGGGTTGATGCACTTATTCAACACCAAACAAAGCCAACCCAAGCACTAGATAAGAGAGAAGGGTTGAAAGGAAAGAGGATAAAAGAAGAGGGGGAAGGGGGAAAAGGAGAAGAGAGGAGGAACCACCTTCCCCTTTGTTGTAGCGCTGACAGCACTTCCAGCAATTTGCCCATTGCCATGGCAGGGGGGGTGTTGGGGTTAGGACAGCTACTATTCATGTGAATGGTGGCTACCCTTGCAAAAGTAATGTGTGTTTCTAGCAGTTGCCCTTTGCCATGAAAAATACTCTTTATTTTTTTATTTTTTTCACAACTTTTTTTTACCTAAACAATTAATTTGGATAATATTTTCAGATAAGATTTTATTTTATTAGTTGTATTGATTTTCTTTTAGTGAATAAAGAAAACATTCAATAAAATACCTTTTTATTCAAAACATTCCATACATAAAAAGCAAACCACAACCAAAGCATTAAAAAAACAAAGAATAACTAAAAATACAACATAAACATAATAAATTAAAAAAACATCTTCACTTCACTTCATTCACCTTCATTGTCTTTCACTGCCTTCTTTCTCTAGTTTCTTGCTCTTGCCTCTCCAAAACCTCTTGCATGCCTGCCATTTGAGAATGGATAATGAAATCTAAAATCTGAGAAATGAAAAAGTACAGAAGATCTGGTGTGGGAGGTATGAAAGTGAAAAAAAATATTGAGTAGAAATTGAATAATAGTAGAATGAGAAGAAAATGTACGAGGATTTGGCGTTAAAAGTGAAGAGTGTTGGTTGGTATTTATAAAAAAAAAAAAAAAAAAATTCAGTAATTTTTTGGAATAATTTTTTAAAAATTTTGATTTGTTTTTATTTTTTTATTGCACAAAAATTGGCTGCTGTTGGATTGGAGGAAAAAAATTTGATCGGAGAGCCCAGAGTGCAACACATGGAAGAGAGCCATTGGCGGCACTGTAGCGGAGCGTTCAAATTTTTTTTAACGTTGGCACGTGCGTTGACGCCAGGGTTGATGTCAGTGGAAAACTCGGGCAAGCCTTGCCTTATTCAGCCCGGTTTTTATGGGTCCCACCTTGCACCCGGGCCTTATTTTGTTGCTGGAAACAGACTTTTGGGCCAAACCCCCCAGCCCTCCCCTTGGTCCCCCTGCTGGAAATGCTCTGAAGGAGGCTTGGGTTTGGGTTTGAGAGCCGCCCCTTGGCACCATTTGATCACAGAAAGACTTCTCAGGTCAATCAAATCATTTTGGAATATTCAATCACATCGAGGCTCCGGTCAAATATCATCAGAACATGGACATTTTGGTTTAAATCCTTTTGCACCAATTATATCACTCCTAAACCCAAAATGGTTAATCTTAAACCTGAAATGACAGATTGTTTGGAAATAAGCAATGATGTAAGCACACAAAAACATGCGTGGACGGTTGTTTTGAAATTTTGTACAAATTCTCCTGCAGGCGTAAACAATTTCATAAATTAAGAAAACAAATGTGACATAAATAGTACAAAAACATATTAGATGTACTTCTATATGTTTTACAGAAGTTAGACTTGTGTAAGAATGATAAATGGCGATGAGTTTTTAACTCATTTGGTTAAGAACATTCACCTTTACATCCGAGATTTTGTGATTTTGAAAATGCAAAATTAAATTTAGATGACATTGGCCAATCCCACCATGACTTACTGCAGCCCATTCCCCGGGTGGAGGTTGCCCACATGACCCTCAAAATGTCTGGTGTCTGGACTCTGGATCACCGACCTGCCAGCAAGACTTTCCCAGAAGAAACCGAAAGTAGAAAAAGAATATAATAAAATGCTACAAGTACATGTCACAATTGAGTAGCACACAAACAGTATACTTGCACAAATAGTAGGAATTCAACACCAAACTTGTTCAAAATAACCAAGATTCAGAATGAGCTCAAATTTGAACAAACGAAATACTACCATATCACTTGATGATGCAAAATCTGATAAACAAATTTGGTGAGTGTAGCTATTTTAATTTAAAAAATCTGAACCGCACATTCTGAGATGCCTTGCGGGAAAATATTTAAAACAAAAAATTTACCCACCTAAGCTGTAGCCTGTAGGACAGGGATGGGAAAGAAATAGTGAGCTATCCAAACTTGTAACTATGCACTTAATTTGGACAAACGATACCAAGCCTTTAATGCTCAGTTTGTCTACTTCCCCACTGTCAAACCCTCTGTCTTTGATTTGATTTACAAGTTTGGCAGCTATAACAAAGTTGATGACTGAATTTGAGTGGTCCAGACTCCAAATGCAATGAAATTGAAGGACACAAAGAAATAGCCACCCCGCCAAAAAAAAAAAGGCCCAAAAGGCCAAAACTACAGCTGTGTCAAAGACAAGGCATAGTAACTTGGCCTTCAACATGTTCCTTGCGGAAAATGAGCAAAGTACACTAAGAAAAGATCATCACCAAGTCTACACTCAACAACCAGTTTTTCCACATGAAGAGAGGTTCTGTTTCTCATGATTTGGGTGCATTTCCAAGCCTAGGAGGGCCAGATTTTCATGGCAGTAGAATTGGAGGCCAAAAGGGTTGGAGCTCTGAGCGTGTGCCGTTGCCTACAAGCAGTGGACAGAGGCATGCCATCCTTGGCAGCACTTCTTTGATGGGGCTGAGCAATGGTGGGAGGACTGTGCCTTCAAAATGGGAAGATGCAGAGAGGTGGATTTGCAGCCCGGTTCTCGGATATGGGTGTGAGAGCAACAAGAATGATTCACATTCTCATGGTCATGGTCAGCAGAGGAGGCCTAAGTCCAAGAGTGGTCCAATTGTGCCTCCCGGAGCTCTATACTGTTCGAATTTTTCGCCTGCAAATCCGGCATTTGATGGCTGCGGCAGCGTGAGGAATTTCGCAATCGGTTCACCATTTTCGACAGGAGTTTTGGCAGCTGATAGTGTCTCTCTTCTATATGGTGGCAGTGGAGGAATGGGAAGATCAACTAGTGCGCTTGGACTGCTAGAATTGCAAAGTGAGTTCTTCCCATCTCGAATAGTACATGTTTTTTTTTTCTCTTCTTAATTTTCATATCATTATACTTCGTTGAATGAAAAACAGTTGAACACCTCGGATGGATAATGTTCCCTCGTCAAATATTTAGTATATGGTGTTGTCAGACTGTGAATCTGAATCACATATTCTCTATTAATCACAATGATTTTGGGGGTTTAATTTTGTTTCTAGAGTTATGCTTCTTGGGGTTTCTAAGTGATTCATAACTTAATTATCAACGCATTATTCTTATATGTGAGTTTGTTACTGTGGATCAAATGGGGCAGATGAGAAACTTGATAACACAAAGTGTGAGGAACCAGTGATTTCCCGAGCTGTTTCACAACGAGATATGGGAACCCAAATAACCCCAAATGGTTGCCTCCACCACTCGCCATCACCTCCCAAAAGGAGGTCATCATTTGCTCCATCTTCTCCAACTCTGCTTTCCATTGTGGAGCAGCAACGCGAACATTTTGCTAAGTTAGAGGTCAGAGAAGTGCAGGTTGACAATGGAGCCACCGGCAGTAAGGGGTCAAGAAGGGGTGGCAGCGTCACGAAAAGATGCCCGGATGTTTATGATTTCGACAAAATTGCTATTAAAAATCAACCTCCATCTTTCAATATTGCAGAGGCAGCTATGAACAGTTCAAGGTATGTTCTATAAATTCTAAGTTTCTAGCCTCCAGAGAAAAACATTGTAATCTTTAAGTTTCCTTTCTTTAAGCCAAATCTCCACTTTTGGTTCATTTATTCTTCTGCGTGTAAATTGATATTCCAAAGAAAACTTCTGATGTATGCAGAAAGCAAAGAGAGGAAGCCAAGATCACTGCGTGGGAGAACTTGCAGAAGGCAAAAGCTGAAGCAGCACTAAGAAAACTTGAGGTTCTTTCATATGAGCAATGTTTTATTCATATTTATGTATCATTTTCTGCATTTTACCAAAAATGCAGGGTTACTAAGGCAACCTTTGCCTCTTCCATATGTCCCCCATAGTGTTTGCAGCCTTTACTAACTATGAAGTTGGTGTTGCAGATGAAATTGGAAAAGAAGAGATCGTCGACAATGGACAAGATCATGAAGAAGGTGAGAAAGGCACAAGTTAAAGCCCACAAGATGAGAAGCTCAATAGCAGTTAAAGACGGCCATCAAGCTCCGAAAACTCCCGGAAAGATTGTTTCCTTCGGTAAGCTTGTCCGGGGGGGTTCCCTGAGCAGTTGCTTTACCCGTAATGCTGCCTAATTCCTTGTGCTCTTCCCAGCTAATTTATTCATTGCACCAGCTGACCCCTTGGAGTTTCTGATTTGAAATCTAGCTTAGGAATTTCTTCCATGTCAAGTTTTCTTCCTTTTGACCTCATCCTGTATGTATTGTATATAGGAACCTCGTGCATTAACTAAGTATGAGAACAGTGAGCACCGTATATAGAAGAACTTCAAACGCTTCTCTTTGTGCTCTTGAGTTGGCCTTTTACCATGGCATTTGGTTGTCTTCTTTCCAACGTTTAGCTGTCTTTCTTTCTGCATTTTTTTTGTGCCAAAGTTTCTGCATATGGTTTGAGGACAGGATTTTGTTGTGTTTAAAATAAAATAAAATAATAATAATAAATCTTTTTTGGCATATCCGAGTCACCCAGATTTCATCTTACATATGTCCCTGAATCCAGAAATTCAAAATATACAAAATTAAAATTCAACTGACGCAAATCTTACTGGGAAGATAAGCAAAGGAAAATGGAAAACAGAACTAGTCAAATGTAACCGAACAAAATAAAAATGCAACACCTCCCACCTTTGCAAGAAGCCAGAAATAATCCATCTAATAACTTAATAAAATAGCGATTTCTACACAAAGGAACCATGGTCCTGATCCCTGAATTCGCCGGCTGGCTAATATTACAGATTCAGACATTCCTATCCACCTATATTTTCACTGGATAATAACGTATGGATCTGTTTGAAAGGGTAAACCAACTATAATAAGTTCAGAAGTTGACAAACGAACATTATTGGGGGACGTCAGCTAAGGATGTGATCCTTAATCTTATATAAATTCACTTAACAAAGCCTGCATGGCATTTTGTTGACATTCCTAAGATCTGGTGCCAAATTTCCAGAGCCACATCTCTAGTATGGTCTGTACCTCCAATCTGCTCTTGACGGTCTCGCACTGCCGATTCCATAACCCCACTGCAATATCAAGAGTGCAGCATGCCGTATGTTAGTAAAAGTATATGGAAAATAAGTTTGGTCTTAGAAATAACAAAAAAAACTTCCTTTTGGACAGAAACCTACATGACAGCAAAATTAAAATATACTCACATCATCAAAATCTAGACTTCCATACATCCTGCCATAGCTGCGCACAGGACCACCATAGCCACCACCAAAGGGCTCTACATTATTCATCACAAAATTTCCACTGGTACCAGCTTCATCAAGCGGAGTGGCTGTATCTATTGCAACCTGGAGAACAACATATTAAGTCTCATTTTACAGAGTAAAAAACAATTTAGAAAAGTATAAGCTTATACTTAATTAGAGTGCTTGCAGCTGTTTCAGGGAAACAACAATGAGGGTATGTTGTTGGGTTACCCCTAAACTGCGATCTCATAGAAAAGCATCATATTTTCCCTCATTTTCGTGCAAAAAACTAGTTTGACGTGGGTGGATAAAAAATGAACCATAAGTTAACGGGCAAAAAAATGAGAGTCAACTCCATCTAATACCTGCTGTCCACAAATCTCATGAGACCTTCGTGATACACGTTCGGCTACGCCATCTTCCCCGAAAGTTACAAAACCAAACCCTCTATGTCCAGTTCTTTTCGGGTCCTGCATAATTGAGCATTCACACATTTTCAGGTTCCAAAATTTCATGAATACAATTGGTTATTTATAAATCCATGCTATCTTACCCTTGGAACATAAACATCTGCTATACGACCAAATCTCCCAAAATACTGGCGGAGATCTTCCGCGGTTGCTTCCTGAGGAAGCCTACCAACAAAAATCTTTTTGCCCAGTCCTCGAGCAGATTCCCCTCCTAATCCAACACGACAAGATTCAAAAAACCAAAAAACAAAAAAACAAGATTCCACAACTTAAGATTTTGAAAGTGCAGTATACTCTGTAACTTGTAAAAGCACTTACTTGGAAAAGCAGGTCCTGGTATTGGTCCAGGATGGTCATACAAGGTAGGAGCACCAAGTGCTGCATATCTAGTTGCTGCTGAGATGTAAGCATTATATGCACCATATCCACCCTGTGCCATTCTGCCAACTGGTCTGAAGTCATCTTCCTGAAAAGAAGATATTATATATCTTGATTCTTGAATCAATGATATTAATGATATCTTTATAAAAAGAATTTTAAACTTAAAAAGAACAGAATTAGAACTATAAATTCAAAAAACTAAAAACTAAAGGTTGGCTATGCTGTAACTTGCCTTGGGAGTTGCTCGATCAACAACTACAGTGGAACCGCCTAACTCATGAGTATCAACCATCAAATTTTCCACGGAATCTGCAATATAGAGGACATTTATTTGTTCAATATTTTTCCTCACAGAAAATGATATCATCCACACAGCATAATATCAAACAATCAGCTCTCAGATTCTCCATCTATCCTGATATTATATTCACGACGATAAAGACTGCTAGTTTAAATGTTGCTGGGAAACAAGCATTTATAAACCTATAGATCTACGTAAAACAAGTCAATTATTTAATAAGAAACTTTCATGTTTACATTAAAAAACATAAGGTTCATACAGTTCACAAACCCTATCTTGGATAAAAGTAAATAAATCACTTCTTATAAACCCTAAAATGAATGGTAAAATAAAACAAGACATCAATATTTTAATTAATTTCATATGTATAAGCTGTTGAAAAGAAGATACAATGTAATCAAATATGCTTGACAAAGCATCTCTCCTCCATGCAACAACTATCACTGACCTTTATTTCTCCCCTATCTCATTACCACATGCTTTTCCCTCATCACCACAAATGAACTCATGTTTATTGCAAGCTCAAGTAAACACAAATTAATAACTTAATGTGCCATCAGGGGGCTTAAATTCAAATGGAAAAAAGTTAGTTGCCATTATGCATAATGCAAAGCATAGAAGGATATGTGAGACGGTCTGACCTGCATTTTCAAATGTTATAAACCCAATTCCACGGTGCATTTTTGAGCCTTGATCCTGAAACAACACATTTATAAGAACCATATGATATTGGGTCCAACCCAACAATAACTGCAAATATAAATGTTTGACTTGGTGGGCGTGTGCATGTGCATGTGCAATGTATAGACATACCTACACACGTATTTACAAGACTTATAGTAAAAGTCAAACACAAAAATAATTAAGCAATTATAATGTCTAAATTAATGTGATTTGGACCAGAACCAGAAGATGGATAGAGAACCTTAGGCATGTATAAATCTGTTATATCACCATATTTCTCAAAATGACTGCAAAAGAAATTGAAAGAAACATCAGGTTAATTTCATATCATGAAACATGAAAGTGTTAAAAAAAAATAAAGAAAAAATCATTATTGCAGTAACAACAATATATTTAACTACCTTCGGAAGGTGGCTTCTGTCACAACTTGTGGGATCCTTGCAACAAATATCCTGGTAACTTTTCTTGCAGGTGCTCTCATCTCCTCCTAGAAAAAGAAAGCATAAAAAATGAATAATGGCAGAACCACCGACAAAATCCTTGATGCTATAGAAAGCACAATATACATACACGACAATTATCACTAACTGAAATAAACATATGTGAATGATATTAAAACAATACTGATTATGAATTTATAAAACCTTCGGCGTAGCTATTTTAACTTCCAGCATTCTATTCCCAAGAAAGTGCTCACTTGATGCTGCATTCTGTAGCCAAAAAGATGTCAGCTATTAGACATCTGATATACGGACAGTTGATTTTAACATATTTATGTTTCCAATGACTAACCGATCATGCAATAATGCACATAAATAGTGAAAACATTTAGCTCAGACAACAAGGATACGTGGAAAATTTTAGTCCGACTCACCTTGGCATCTTCAGCTGATGCAAATGTTGCATATCCAAACCCACGAGACCGACCAGTTGACCGGTCCTAAAAAACACGGAAACAAATGCCTATAAGTTTCCAAAATAATGTAAATAATGCAAAAAATGGATCAAATAAACAGACAAACAGAATCCCAATCAACTACAAGGGAACAACCGACGTCCAAACCAAGCATCCACAAAAATGATTCATCAATAAAAATAAGTAGTAAAGCAGACGAGGAACACTCATGAATAAAATCTCCAAAAGGGTTCCATAGCAATTAGATTAATATAAAGGGTTGGATAAATGGCTAACCTTCATGACAATACAATCTTCCAATTCACCAAATTTGCTCATATACTCTCTCAACCCTTCCGTATCAATATCCCATGGAATGCCCAAAACCTGAATTACAATTACAGAGCACACCATTCAAATAAAACCAACTAATTCCCTTAACCCATCAACAAACATGCAAAATGTAATATAGATACAGAAGGAAAAAGAAAAAGAAAAACTAACCACGAGCTTGCGGTCCATGAGGCAATTCGAGAAGGCAGCCCAAAAGGGGGAGAGAAACCCTAAAATTGAAAAAAGAGAAAGCTTTTGTTCTTCTAAGCACTCTCTCTCTAATAAATCTCTCACACTCGCTCCCTGCACATGATAAGCACATCTCTTTCTCACACACAAGCGGCATATACCAAATCAAACTCACCATTTTCGACTTTTTGCTTTTTCTGTTTTAAATTCTAGGCTACAGCTCAAACAAAATTGGGATATAATTAAAGAAAACACGAAAAATAGGGCATGAAATTTCTTCAATTTACGCGCTCACTAACCTTGTGCAATCAATCTCTGGGATTTTTCCAAAACCCTAGACCTGACCACCCTCTCGCGTTCTCTCTCTCCTCCCTCCCTCTCTGCTCTCTCGCGCGCGCGCGTTCTCTCTTTCTCGCTAGCTCGCTCGCGCCGCTCGAACCTTGAAGAACACAACACAAATTCGGCCGAGTTTGATCTGCGGTCCTTGTCTTTTAAAAACAGCTTCCGGTTTGTGGTCGCGTGGATAGAGGGCAGATATCGGGTGGGTGAAGGACCACCATGGTCTTTATTCAGCTGCATGTCATTTGTCTAGCATGGACCACCATTTTAAAACTTCACAATATTATACATAATACCTCCAATATTTTTACCACGTCTTTTTACTTTTATTTTTATACAAACGATATTAGACAACAAAGGGTATTCGACACAAGACGACCTCAAATACATGTAGTGACGGAACCATGAATTTTCCTTTTGAGAGTCAAAGTGTAAAAGTATATATATATATATATATATAATTTAAAAATCTGAAAAAGTGTAACAATAATATTATTGTTAATAATTTATGAAATAAACAACATTACAAATAACATTAATCCCCATAAAATACATATAAAATAATAAATAAGGAAAACAAAAAATATAGAGATACACTTATTTTATGTTTACTAATTAAGAATTGAGATTTTTATCATAAATTAAATTCCATATTTGGATGATTGAATTAAAAAGTAAGTGGGCCCTACACAAAATTAGGAATTGAAGTCCTAATTTTGAAGGAATTCAATTCTTGGGTGAGATGTAGTATTATAATTCATGGAGAACTAACTCATTAGGAATTCATCTTTTTTACCATTATATTTTCACACAATTTTTAAAATTTCTAATTTGTCATCTACTTTAACCTAACAATGAGGACATTTTAGTAATTAACACTATTTCCACCCCAATTTCATATGATTTAGTAAACAACTTTAGTAGGAATCCGGAATATAACTATTCTCATCCATATGGTTTAGTAAACAACTTTAATAGGAATTTGAAATCTAATTTTCCTCAATTCAATTGATTAGTAAACATGCAATCATTGTTTTCAAAGGTGAGGCTTTAAGGCAACCTTTTTTATGTCACACAAGGCGAAATGTGAGTTTTGAATCGTTGAAGTATAAACCTTTCGAATATCAAACATAATAATAATTGTTACAAACTGACTATCTAATGTTTGTACACTTCAATATAAAAGACAATTTACAATTTTGTGGTAGAATAAGGAGGTTATTACAATTCGAAAGCCTGGTAAGATGTGTAGGTATTAGAGAAAAAGATTAGAGAGGTGGTGGCCTTTTGGAACTTGGTTTGAGATGGTAGGTGAAACAAAGGGGTAGGTTGGTCTGGGTCCTAGTTAAATGTAATCCACCATGGGTCTGTTTGGTACACCTTCTTGGATTGGCTTGGATTGAAGTAGCTTAAATGACACCCATAACCCATGTTTGGTGCAGCCCTTTGTTAAGTTAAATGAGACTAGAGAATTTGGGGCTTAAAAAAACGATTCGCTCATTAGCACAAAATAGCGAGTTCTAAAAAGGTGCCGCTAAATAACAAAGTCGCTATTAGGGGTGGGCATATAAACCGAAAACCGGATGAAAAAAAAGGGGAAAAAATCGAGTTGACTAAAAAGTCAACAAAACAGGACCGGATCGGTTCTGATTTCGATTTTACACAAGATAGCACCGAACCGGACCGAACCGGACCGGCTGTATTAATTAATTAATTAATTATTTTAAAATATTCTATACTTAAGCCCAATTCTCCTTAACCAAAATTAAAAGCCAAACTTAAAGCCCATATATCTTTTATTTTCAAAGCCCATTCCACAACCCTACTTCACCTCTCTCTTCTATTTTTCCCTTTTCCCAAAGTCAGTGTCTTTTCACTCTAATCAGCTCCTAGAAAGCATTTATCATCTTGGGTATTGCCCCCAATGGTGAGAAGTAATTCCTATATGGTTCTTCTTCAACAACCTGCATACGTAAAGCTTCCAAAAATTAATTAATATATAATAAGAAATCTAGTCTTGGGCCTGTGTATAAGTGTTTTTGATTGCGTATTAAAAATAAAAAAAAATTGTAATCTAATTCTATGGATTATTATGAAAGAACGTTTTTAGTTATCTAAAAGCATTTTTGGGATTGTTGAAAGCACTTTCATGCAAGCTCTAGTCTTCATTTTAGTTTGTGACAGGAATTTTGAGGTGCTTGCGTACCTTCACTTCATAGTGCCTATTATAGTAGAGGCATGTCCCAAAGTGCTTGTACATTAAGGCATTGTCATCAAAAGGCAACCTAGGCACCAATGGCGGATCTACAGAAGCGCAAGGAGGTGCACTTGCATCTCACCTCGTCTGAAAAAAAGCCATGGAGGTGCTAGATTTGCCCCTCTGTGCTAGAGCCCAAGGTTTTAAAGCGCTATGTAAGGGGTCTGGAAATCGCCTCAAGGAGCCAATAGTTTGGCAAGTTACACATACTAGCATGGTTCAAGGCAATGTGAGGTGCATGATGTGTAGCTGAGGTGTCTCTAATGAAGGCTGAGGCGATGGTTCATGAAGGAAAAAGATAACTCTATACCCTAATTTTCTTTTTTACAAACGACGTCATCCTTTAGTTTTGTTTAATGAAACGCACGTTTCATTAAAGTTTATTAAAAGTCAAACTCTACCGTTTTGGTGAAATAAAATTCATTTTCCTACCCAAACTCTAACAAAATTAATAAATAAACAATAAATTAATAAAAACCTTACTTACAGCCCAACTAGTTGTCTTGACCAATCTGTTAAAACCAAATCGTTATTACTGCAGCATATATGTATGTATAATTCTGCAAACCTCCCTAGCTTATTCTTATTTCTTTAATAAGTCAGCCTAGATAAAAATAGTTTTCAGATTGATTATTTTGCTTCAATTACTTGATTATAGCTATTGTAATATATATTTCATTATAATAATCATTTTAATATGTTCTTTAAATTTTTTTTTAAATTCCGTCCTATCAAAATGTTATTGCCCCTCCTTTGAAAACTTCATGGATCCACCACTGCTAGGCACCATATCATTACCATAAACAATTCTAAAATATGGAACGCGATGCTCTTTCAATTGTTTTCCATGAACTCTCCAAATTTCTCATCTCCTACCCTTGGCTGCCCAAATGTGCCCCCCGCAACCTCTCCAATAACCATGGCTCATCATGCATAGCCAAAATCGCTGGAAACAGAATTGCTAGAGCCCCACCGAAACTATGGCCTGTCACTATGTATCTTGATTCATCATTTTGTCTCAAAAGTTTATTTAGCATGTCCCTAATGGCATAGTAAGCTCGGGGTCGGGCTGGTTTACCATTTTGTTTGACTTCTTCCTTAGGTCAACCATCATTCTTGTGTAACCCTAAAGCTTTCATGAAGCCACCATGAATTTTGCCAACCCCGTCAAGCTCATACCCGGAGAAGTCAAAGTCAGAGCACCATGCATCTGCATCAAAGGGTTCAGTTCCTCTAAAGGCCACAACAATTGTGTCTTGGTCACAAGTTTTGTCACGAAGCAAGAAGGCTTGTGTCGTGGCTTTTCCCTGATAATCTATGTAGAAAGCAAAATCATCATTAATTATATATCATGTGGCCAATTTGAAATTAATGCAACTTACAGAGTGTAGGTTACTCCTTACCATTCAAGAAGTCATAAAATCCCAAAAACTCCATCTGCTCAAGATCAATTGCATTTTGGTGTTAAAATCAAATTTTATACTTAATACTTGTACACAAACGGGATATGTTCTCTTGTCAGATTTACTTATGTTGTCAGACTGTGAATGGAAATCATTAATCAAATTGATTCGTCCCTATCAGACTGTGATCAAAACAATTAATCAAATTGCTAATAAGCTATTTACCTTCCAGTGATTCTTGACAATAGATTCAATGCATGCACTATTTTCATATGATGCTTTAGAAGCCATCGCAGAGAGTGCTGCATGGTCGTTGGCATCATCATGTCTGATGCTACTGTCCAACTCCACCCGCTTGTCCATAATCCCAATAAATGACAGAAATGTTGCCGACGTTTTATCTGGCTTTACCACCCTCCCTGAAAACAGCACCCGGGTCACATTTTAATCGAAGCAAAGACCAAAGATAGTGAAAGAGCTGCACATCCCTATCCTAATTACTTTTCCCTTTTTTAAAATACAAAGCTACTAATGTTCCAAAATATATGTAATTATAATCAAACAGAGAAGAGCATGCAAACAAATCACTCCGATTAAATATATACTTTACAAACATAGTTTCTTATTAACTACTAACATAATCAAAAGAACCATGCAATTTTAGAAGAAGGGAAAAAGGAACTCAATCTAAACTTCAAGTCATTAGGTAGATTCATCCAAAATATGAGTAGTAATTATGAACAGAGGAAAGTTATAAGCAAAGCAACCTCGGAGGAAATTGAGCATGAGCACAAACACATTGCGGTTGCTTGGTATAAGGTTCAAAGCCACTTCGATCCCCGACCCCAACTCTGACAGTGGCTTTGACACAAACTGCAGAAATTTTTGACCCAAAATGGACAGAAATATAAACCATCTGCGCCTGAAGTTGATCTCCTCTACCTTAGACTTATCTAAAAACTTATTTCCTTCCTCAAACTTGGTGGTGGAGAACAAAATGTGAATCAGATCAAAGAAGCCAACTTCTTCTGGCGTCAATAGAAAATAATTGCTGGAAAAGCTCTTGTTACAGGCCATGGCTTTTGTGCTTTGGCGGAAGATATATTATTATTCTTTGTTGCTTTGGTGGAAGATATATGTTTACTTAAGACTTTGTATAGAGTTTAGAGAGAGATGGTAGCTAGGTTTGATTGATTCAATAGCTGTAGCTTATTGATTGAAAATGGACCCATTTGCTATAAGACTCTAAATTTCTGTATCACTTCCCAAATGAGATTGGAAATCTTATCTTATAAATTAAAGTTTGACTTGATATTGGAAACTTGGTTGGTGCCAGAGGAGCATCAAAATGCAACAATTAGAAAAGTTACACGCATTTTCAGTAATGGGGCATGCAGTAATAAAATTGCACATGTGATGGGTCTACTAGAATTGATCGATAGAACCAAAGAAACAGAAAAAGGCAATGATTATTTTTTGTTTTAATTTTAATAAGTCACTGTGTTAGATAACCATTTAATTCTAATAATTTATTTATACGAGTAAATTGGGGTATTAGTCCTGGAATTATAAAATAGTGTACTAATTGATGGGGAATTTATTACTAATATCGAAATTCAAATGCCATTAATTTAAGGGAAATTTGAATTTCGACATTTGGTTTTCATAGATAATGGGTGGGTGGGAGAGGAAGACGTGAGGATCCCAATCTGGTGGCATTTACATAATCTTGTGGACAATGTGCAGCTGCTCCTGGCATTACCAGACCCATTAGCCTGAACATTTTGAGCAAGGGCCCTTCTTTGTAGTCCGGTCCCAACCTATATGGAATGGTGAAACTTCTTATCAGCTCACCAAAAGCATTCATCATCATGGGAATTGCCCTCGTTGGAGAGAAATAGTTATTGTTTGGCTCCTCCGGAAGAACCTGCACATGTTGTGTAAATTTAATTAGGACACGTTTCTTTCAAGCGTAAAACTATTTGTACCACATAGGTTGACACATTTTTAAAATAGCTGGAGGCACAACCCTCCAACCCTCCTCCCTCCATAAGTGGGTCTTGCGTTTATTAAATATGTTGTCTATTGTGCAGTCTACAAATGTGATTCCTTTACCATTACTTGAATTTGATAAGAGAAAAGCAGTTTGTTACCTGAACTTCGTATTGCCTATTATAGTAGAGGCAAGTCCCAAAGTGTTTGAACATTAGGGCCTTGTCATCATACGGCAACCTGGGCACGATGTCATTGCCATAGACAAACCTAAAATACTTAATCTTATGCTCTATCATTTTGTTTTCCATGTACCGTCCAAAATCCTTATCTCCAACTCTAGGCTGCCCAAATGTATAAACTCCCTCCAACCTCTTTAACAGCAGATCTGAATCCTTTCCATTGTGAAATGTTAAAACTGCAGGAAAGAGAATTGCTAGAGCCCCACCTAAGCTGTGCCCAGTTATTATGTATCTTGCTTTGTCATTTTCAAGCAGATGCTTTTTCAGTATATCCCTAATGCCATAGTAAGCTAAAGCTGGGTGGCTATTGTCTTGTTTGAATTCCTCCGGCTTCGGCCAACCAACAATATTGTTCTGTAACCCTAGAGCTTTCATGAATCCACCATGGATCCTTCCAACCTCTTCGAGTTGATACCAAGAGATGTCAAAGTCAGAGCACCACGCATCCGCATCAAAGGGTTCAGTGCCTCTAAAGGCCACAACGATAGTGTCATGGTCATCACTTCTGTCACGAAGCATAAAGGCTTGTGTTGTAGCTTTTCTTTGATAATCTGTCAAAGACAATAATAATGATTTCAGTTAGTTTTGATTTTGAAGTAATATATACGGACACATATATCTAGGCATGTGCTATCATGTGCATATATGAAATTATTGAACAATCTGACATGTTATATTAACTATTCATGTGTAGATGTTAAATTATCGAGTTTAAGACAATATTCATCTTTGATTGCACGGTTGAGATATTGAAATTTGTCAGATAGCATATAAAACGTTAGCATATATAATGTATGAGTGGGATATAATTTTAATTTTTTTCAATTTGAGTTATTTCTCATACCATTCCAGAAGTCGTAAGAGCCCAAGAACTCCATCTGCCAAAAGAAGGGAAAAACAAAACAAAAAGGCAGAGTTTTACAATTAATCATACAATTATTAAAATTATACGGAAGTATATTGGAGCAAGAACTAATTGAAATTGTAAATTGCCATACCTTCCAGTGATCCTGGACTGTAGTTTCAATGTAGAATTTGTTCTCATAAGATATTTTAGACGTACGCCATCATACAAAGTGCTGCATCATAATTGCCATCTGTAAATTTTATGTTTCTGTCCAGCTCTACTCGCTTGTCCAGATGTCCAATAAACGACACGAACGTTCTTGAGCTTTGACCTGGCATTCCCTTACCTGTGCGTGTATATATTTTTAGATATAGATCCATTTTCATTTACATACAATGGATGCAGGACACTAATTGGACTCTTTTCAATTGCAGTCCTCCCAATCAATTGTATGGCCAGGTAAGCAAACCTTGTAGCCACCATATTCGAGACATTTACAATAATGACATTGGTTAAAAATGGCAAGTACATGCAAATACCACTTTTAAATATCAGTTTTCTACTACAATCAAGCTTATGACATTCAATTTAAATGATGATTTCATGGCTTACAGATTAAAAACCTATTTAATTCAAATTTCAGCTATATATGGAAACTATGTTTTTTAGAATTCTATATTCGTAGCTTTATTAAATTGGTAGCATATACCTACCTTTTAGCTATAAATTTATATTTTGAGTTTTTTAAAATTCTTTGATGGAATTTTTTTGTCATAATGTTAATTTTTTAATATACCTAGTATGGAGGTATAACTTCTTTTTTATTGTATTTTTTTATTTAAACATATGTGTTTTACCTGGCATTAAGGTGCATCCAATATGTGTTTTACCTAGTACTAAGGTGCATCAAATATGTACTATACCTATTAGATAGGTATTTCAAGTTCAATGTTTAGCAGGGTATTGTACCTGGAGCATAGGAATTTGCACAAATCAAGCACAAGGAAAAAGTGAAGGTCCGACATAAAATGTAATTATTCCTTTAATTACATGATCAAATCTAATCATTAATGTCCTATAAATCCTCATTTTATCCATTTTAGACAATAGGGATATAATAGGAACAAAAAATTTAAATACAAATTAGTTAAATACAAAAGATTGAGTGAGCATGTCAAAAATGAAATGTAATCTACATGGTAAACTAGTCAAAGGATTTGTATCAATAAACAATAATTCGAGGACTAGACCCAACTATTGGTTGGATTTTTGGACCTCTATCAACTTTTCTAATATATATATTAGTCTCCATTTATGACATGCTTATTTACGAGGAATGGAGGAAGGTAAAGAATTGTTACGGGAAGAAGACATTTACATTAAGCTCTTTACTAATCTTATGAAATTGAATTAATAATTAATCATACCAATTGCATGCATGAGAAAAATGAAAAGGAAGCGAACTATTACCTCGCAGAAAATTTTGCAGCAGTCCAACCATGTTTTGTTTGCTTGAAAAGATATTCAAGCACATTTCGATCACCCAGCCAATAGCTGCCATTGGCGCAGCGACAAATCGCAGCAATTTTTGCACCAGAATAGACAGAAATATAAGCCATCTGCCCTCATCAAGGTCATGCTCGGTCTGCTCAGAAGAGTGACAAAATTTTCTTCTCTCTAAGTGTTTGGAAAACAAGATGTGAAGCAGATCAGAGAAACCCACATCCGCAGGCTTCAATAGCATGTGATTGCAGAAAGGCTTGTCACAAGCCATGAGAGAATATATCTTCGACTTCTTATAGTGGTTGAGTTTGCAGTGCGTATTTTTTCCTGTGCTCTCAACCACATTAGAAGTAGTCTATATATAGTACTTGCAGTATCAGCTGTGGTGGTTAGATGTCAAATGGCCAAGTCCTTTTTTAGACTTCTTTCACGCGTAAACTTTTAAGTGTTTTGAAACTAGTAGTGTGGAATCTTCTTTTTTGTGGGACAATGCTATTTTTTCTTTATTTATCAGGAATGACCAAGACTTTACAAGGTTGACTTCATTCGGCCCCACATATATTCCTCATCACTCTACCGTGAGACTCTTCCTTGTATTTTCTACTTAGAAACTTGTCAGAGGCTTCGAAGAAAATGCACAACTAGCAATTATTCCTGGCCTTTGGTTGAAGACTACTGGGATTGAATTGGATTGCATCGTATTGAAAACAATAACACTAATTCAATTATGTGTTTGGTATTACACATTATAAAGGCATTGGATTAATTGAAATGTGTTAATACATGGCTTAGTAGGATTAGATATAACCCAATTCAACTTAATCTCAACCTTCTAATAGGATTCATAATCCTACTGCATTTGGCTTAATAGGATTAGACATAATCCAATCCATGTGTTTTTAGGCCACCAAACATTTAACTAATATTATGAATCATATCCAACTACATAATCCAACTGACCAGACGAACTAAAAAGGAACAAAATACAAAACAAAAGAAGAAGAAGATAGCCATGTGTGAACACGATATCAGAAAAATCAAGCAAAGAATTCTCCATATTATTTTACTAGTCAATGTCAAACACAAAGAGCAAGCAAAAGAACTAGTCCACCTTATTCTTTTGGGTCTCCTTATAAATTCTTTCTAGGAATCAAAGTAGAAAAGTAGTAGAAAATTATTAATCTGTCCTACTTTCTTGAACCCTTGATCAGATTCTAAAAGTTAATAATATGTAATTCTGTTTCACCTACCAACGTTTTGAATAAAGGCCTGCGGATCCATGAATTCAACACAATATGATTAGTCATCTTATACTCATTTTTTATATTAAACCATTTACTTTTTAACTTATTTTCATAAGAAAATTGTTATTATAGTATTTAAATTGCATAAGTAAAATATGATTATAAAATAAAATAAAAATAAAAAAGTTGGTTTGTTGACTTGACGAGTATTATGTGACACGAACATACCCACGTAAGTTTTTTCCTCTCTATTAGAGAGGCAGTCGAATAAGCGATAAGTAAGATCATGTGGTCCACGCAAAGTTCTCTTTGTGGTAGAT